AGATTATAGAAAGGGTACCTGTGATTTAAAATGAAAGCAGGGAAATAGGATTATTCCACTTTATCTGTGTTTGAATAGATAAATTCAATAGTTTGGCAGTGTATATAATTGAGAAAAATGTCATTTATTACAGGAACCTGTGATATAATTTTTATTGATTTATCACCTTGTGTTTATCAGTAATCTGTGTAGATGTGTACTGTTAATTATAGAAGATATAGAAATTATAAGTATAGAATTCACCTATTTTTTATGTTAATGAAATTCTTTGAATTATTTTATGGAATCTTAAAAATGAAGTCTCTTCGTTTGCCCTATGCAATTTACTGACAATATTTTATTTAAAACTTTCTAATTGTATTCAATTATGGATAAATTCTATAGAGCTGATGGATGAAATCATAGCATCATTAGTTGAGTTTTGGTGCAATATACTCCACATGTATTATCACCTTTAATTATCAGAGCACAGTTGTAAAGTAGATGTTATCTCATATGAGGAATGTGAGACTCAGAAAGTGTAAAGAACCTGCCCACGGTCACATAATTTCTATAGAACTGAGCTGGATTTGAATCTGGCTTTCCTTATATTTGGAGATTCTTACTGTTGATACTGTTTGCAAATTGCTTGTTTAGGGGATCTATGCTTTGATTGCCTTTGTTTATATAGATACCTCTCATGAAGGAAATACTTTTAGAACTTAAAAATTCTTGGTAGTAACAAGAGTAGATTTTTGAAAAACAGTATTTTAGTAGCATTAAGTCCTATCTTAGAAAACAGTGTTTACTTTAGCAACTCAGAATAATAATGACTAGATTATTCAGTCTATGCATACAGGCCATAATGTACCATGATCAGCTCACGAGCATATATCTAAAGACAATTAGCAGAACACAGCAAATTGGCAAATTGATTCTTTAGAAGAATTTCAGGATGTATTGGCATAATTGCCAGACTGTGAAGCAATGATTGAACCACATGGGATTGAATTTATCAATAGCAGCAATCCATTCTTCCAAATAGAATATATGCCAAGCACCACCTTGTAATCACAAACATCATCTGCTGCACCCTGGAGGAAAAAACAGCATGGCTATACTTAGGATCTTAGTTGTTGTTGTTCAGTTGCTCAGTCATGTCCAACTCTTTGCGACCCAATGGGCTGCAGCACACCAGGCTTCCCTGTCCTTCACCATCTCCTGGAGCTTGTTCAGACTCATGTTCATTGAGTCAGTGTTGCCATTCAACCATCTCGTCCTCTGCTGTCCCCTTCTCCTCCTGCCTTCAAGCTTTCCCAGCTCAGGGTCTTTTCTAATGAGTGGGCTCTTTGCATCAGGAGGCCAAAGTATTGGCGCTTCAGCTTCAGCATCAGTTCTTCCAGTGAATATTCAGGACTGATTTCCTTTAGGATTGTATGGTTTTATCTCCTTGCAGTCCAAGGGACTCTCAAGAGTCTTCTCCAACACCACAGTCCAGAAGCATCAGTTCTTTGGCGCTCAGGCTTCTTTGTGATCCAAATCTCACATCCATACATAACTACTGAAAATACCAGAGCTTTGACTATGTGGACCTTTGTCGGCAAAATAATATCTCTGTTTTTTAATATGCTGTCTGGGTTGGTCATAGCTTTTCTTCCAAGGAGTGAACGTCATTTAATTTCATGGCTGCAGTCACCATCTGCAAAGGTTTTTGGAGCCCAAGAAAAGAAAGTCTGTCACTGTTCCCATTGTTTCCCTGTCTGTTTGCCATGAAGTGATGGGGTCAGATGCCATATCTTTGTTTTTTTGAATGTTCATTTTTAAGCCAGTGTTTCACTCTCTTCTTCCACTTTCATCAAGAGATACTTAGGATCTTAGTTGTTGTTGTTCAGTTGCTCAGTCATGTCCAACTCTTTGCGACCCAATGGGCTGCAGCACACCAGGCTTCCCTGTCCTTCACCATCTCCTGGAGCTTGTTCAGACTCATGTTCATTGAGTCAGTGTTGCCATTCAACCATCTCGTCCTCTGCTGTCCCCTTCTCCTCCTGCCTTCAAGCTTTCCCAGCTCAGGGTCTTTTCTAATGAGTGGGCTCTTTGCATCAGGAGGCCAAAGTATTGGCGCTTCAGCTTCAGCATCAGTTCTTCCAGTGAATATTCAGGACTGATTTCCTTTAGGATTGTATGGTTTTATCTCCTTGCAGTCCAAGGGACTCTCAAGAGTCTTCTCCAACACCACAGTCCAGAAGCATCAGTTCTTTGGCGCTCAGGCTTCTTTGTGATCCAAATCTCACATCCATACATAACTACTGAAAATACCAGAGCTTTGACTATGTGGACCTTTGTCGGCAAAATAATATCTCTGTTTTTTAATATGCTGTCTGGGTTGGTCATAGCTTTTCTTCCAAGGAGTGAACGTCATTTAATTTCATGGCTGCAGTCACCATCTGCAAAGGTTTTTGGAGCCCAAGAAAAGAAAGTCTGTCACTGTTCCCATTGTTTCCCTGTCTGTTTGCCATGAAGTGATGGGGTCAGATGCCATATCTTTGTTTTTTTGAATGTCCATTTTTAAGCCAGTGTTTCACTCTCTTCTTCCACTTTCATCAAGAAGCTCTTTAGTTCTTCTTTGCTTTTGCCATAAGGATGGTGTCATCTGCACATCTGAGATTATTGATATTTCTCCTAGCAATCTTGAGTCCAGCTTGTGCAGCCCACTCCAGTATGCTTGCCTGAAGAATCCCATGCACAGAGTAGCCTGGTAGGCTGCAGTCCACGGGGTCACAAAGAGTTGGACACGACTGAAGTGACTTAGCATGCATGCACGAACCCATATTGAGGAGGGTAATCTGCTTTACCCATTCTACCAATTCAAATGTTAATCCTGTGTAGACACACCTTCATAGGCATATCCAGAAATAACATTTAATCAAATATCTGGGTACTCTGTAACCCAGTCAAGGTGACATGTAAATTAACCATAACACATAGTGTATGCCATGAAGCTAACTATCTCTAATCTTCATAACTGTAAGTTCTACTGCTGTGTCCACTTAACTGAGGAGAAGATAAAGGCTTAGCCAAATTGAATAACGTGTGGAAGACCTCACCAACAGCTGAGCAGTGGAGCTGGAATTTCCATGGCGACCTGTGCAAGTACTGTCCACTGCCATGCGGTCTCACCAAGGACACAGATAGGCACCAAGCAGGACAGTGGAGAGCTGGGGAGGCAGAGAGGGCACAGAAGCAAAAGCAAGAATTTTCTTGATATTTTGTGGGAACGACTCAGGTGTATATTCATTAATTTTCATTAGAATTTGGCAGCTCACTGGATATGGGAAGTTGGAAGAGGGAATGATAGCCAAATGACACTTTTTTTTTTTATATATCCTGTATTAATATGAAATTAGGTAACATAGGGTCTGGAGAGAGAAAAGACGACTTCTCTTTACACGTCCTTAAGCATGCACACCCTTTCTGGATTCTTCCCTATTCCTCAGTTTCATAATACTTTACATGTTCCTCTGTTAGAGCCCTTAAACTGGTGTGCAGTGGCTTGTTTCATTTCTGTGTGTGACCCCCCTCCCCACCCCAATATTATGAAGTCTTCCAGGGCAGAGCCTCTTTCTGTTTCTGTACCTAGCAAAGAGTAGGCTCATGGTTGGTGCTTCAGGTGTGATAAGTGGACTAGGGAATATTTGGTCTGAGAGGCTGCAGAGACTAACAGAGTTCCAAGGAGGCAGAGTATTTGAAATAGATGTTGTGGGAATGTAATTGAAAGCCAACTCAAGATGAATGGATATCCTCTGGCCAGCATGGAGGGCCTGACTCATAGAAATGCTTAATTTGGCGTGAAACCAGGATGGCCTGTTTTCCTAATTATTTGTAAATGATGCTCAACTCCCTAGATATAGAAATGGAGAAAAACAGATTGAAATGAATAATTTGAAATAGATAACTTGAGAATTAAGGCTGGGGATAATGGAAGTTCAGTTCAGTTCAGTTGCTCAGTCGTGTCCGACTCTTTGCGACCCCATGAGCTGCAGCTCGCCAGGCCTCCCTGTCCATCACCAACTCCCGGAGTCTACCCAAACCCATGTCCATCGAGTTGGTGATGCCATCCAGTCGTCTCATCCTCTGTCGTCCCCTTCTCCTCCTGCCCTCAATCTTTCCCAGCATCAGGGTCTTTTCCAGTGAGTCAGCTCTTCACATCAGGTGGCCAAAGTATTGGAGTTTCAGCTTCAACATAAGTCCTTCCAATGAATACCCAAGACTGATCTCCTTTAGGATGGACTGGTTGGATCTCCTTACAGTCCAAGGGACTCTCAAGAGTCTTCTCCAACACCACAGTTCAAAAGCATCAATTCTTCTGCACTCAGCTTTATAGTCCAACTCTCACATCCATACATGACCACTGGAAAAACCATAGCCTTGACTAGATGGACCTTTGTTGGCAAAGTAATGTCTCTGCTTCTTAATATGCTATCTAGGTTGGTCATAACTTTCCTTCTAAGGAGTAAGCGTCTTTTAATTTCATGGCTGCAGGCAAGTAAGGCCATTAAAAAGATGAAAGAAAAAGAAGAGACTGAGGAATTGAAGTCTCATAAACACCAAGTATGTATATTCCTGTATCTTGAAAGTGCTTTAGTTTTGTGTTTTGTTACTCATCATGTTCATATTTGTTAGTTTTTTATGCCAAGGACAATCAGCTCATTTAAGTACACATATAAAGTTTCTTGACGTTTATGGCATGAACAGAAGTTAGATCAATTCTCAGCCCTACATACCATACTTATTAGTTTGTGAACTTTGGATAGTTGCCTAAACTCTATGTGCTTCTTTCCTCATTCATAGTACATGTTCTTTCTTATTGGTAAGACTCTTTTGATGATGAAAAATGATTCATAAGGCATGAAGAGCTGTTGAAATACTAGGAGATACCCTGAGATTTGAACAGGTGCCTAATACTGTTGGTATTACAGACTGAATGTTTGTGTCACCCCAAAATTTATGTGTTGAAGCTCTAAATGCCTGATGGGACGGTATTTGAAGATGGGACCTTTGGAGGTAATTAGTTTAGTTGAGCTCATGAGAGTAGGACCTTCTCTCATGAAGAAAGCAGACACCTCTCTGTGTCTCTTTCTCTCCCCCTCTCCCCACCCCACCTCCCGCCTTCTTGCATGCCTCCCTCCTTGCCTCCCTTCCTTTTTCTCTCTGCACATGTACTGGTGAAAGGCCATGGGAGCATACAGTGTGAAGATGGCCCTCTGCAAGCCAGGAAAAGAGCTCTCTCCGGGAACTGAGTCTGCCAGCACCTTGACCTTCGGGTTCCTGGCCTTGGGAACTATGAAAAATAAATGTCTGCTGTTTAAGGCACACAGTCTATGGTATTTCATTCTAGCAGCTCAAGCTGATAGAGATACTTGGTGACTGATAAAATAATTAAATATGACTGCCCCAAACATGCACTGGTAGTAGCTAGATATCAGACTGTCAAGCTTTTTTGCCTGGTTAGGGAGAAGACTTGGAAATGGTCATGGAGCTTTGGGGTCACTGTGGCCAGCACACTTTCTGCCTCCTGAAAGCTTGCAGGGCATGAGAATGACCTTCTCTAGCTGCCTTCAGAAGAAGATGTGGTGTTGCATCCTTAACTGTGCTTGATTGTAGCCCAATTGGTAGGGTCTCAGACTGAGGAGCAGAGAGAGTAATATTTGAAGCTGAGCGTTGATTATCTTGTCCCTACTGAAGGCCCTACTTTCTCCACAGAGGCATCCTTCCCTATAACAATTTAGTCTCTGAAGACTGTTAGCAGTGAGGAAGCCTCTCACAGATTGCATCTGCAATTTATCAGACATAACGTTCTACTTGTTCTTCCTTAAGTTTTCTTTAGTACATGATAAAATACATACATACATATATATATATAAAACAGCAGAAAGAGGTTAGTAAGAGCAAGGAAAACCTTGAAGAACTTCTAAGGATCCTGCATCCTTGGCAGTTCTCACTTGGTTATCTCACAATTGACTTCAATGGTCCAGTTTAAACAAATTCTTCTAATTAATAACTCCTCTGTGACCTTATTTTAGTGATGGTCATGGACTTTGAATATCTGAATTTTCTCCTTACCATCCATTTCATCATTTCAGTCCTCTGGACATCTAAAGTCTCTTTATTTGTGAAGTTATGAGGTCTTTAGCAGCTCTACTGAGGTATAATTTACATACAATAACTGGCCCATAGATAAGGCTTGTAATTTGAGAAATTTTGATACATGTATATACTGTGAAACCCTCACTACAATCAAACTAGTGAACACATATCCATGCCTCTCAAAGACTTTGCTTTGTCCCCCTTTGTAACTCTTCCCTCCATGTGGAACCACTGGTCTACTTCCTGTCAAACCACTTCCAATTAGCAGAAAGTTCAGAGTACTATGAATTCAGTATTTTAAATAGCTTATAAGGCTATATATAGTCAAGCTGTGTCTTGAGATAGCTTTGGAAGATTCTCTTTTAGGTTATTTGTCTGTTATATCCAAGATGTTGAATATAATGCCATAAAGTTGTTCATAATGCTCTTTTATTATTCTTTAAATATCTGTAGATATCTGTATTGATTTTAGTTCGTTCATTTATGATGTTGGTGATTTGTGTCTTTTCTCTTTTTTTCCCCTGATCTTTTCCTATGGGTGTTGTAACAGATTGCCACAAACTTGGTAACGTAAAACAATAGAAATTTGTTCTCACGGTCTGGTTCAAAATAAGTTTTACTAGGTTGAAATCAAAGTATCTGCAGGGCCATGCACCCACTAAAGACTCCAGAGGGAAATCTGTTTCTTGCTTTAAAAAAATATTTATATATTAACCAGCATTCCTTGGCTTAGGGCTACATCAATTCAACATATACACTCATGGTCACATTGCATTCTCCTATTCTGTCTGAATCTCTTTTGCCTCCCTCTTATAGAGTTACATGTGATAACTTTTAGGCCCAACTGGAATAATTCAGGATAATCTTCCCATATGCAAAATCCTTACTCACATCCACAAACACTATTTTTTGACATCTGAGGTAACATTAACAAGCTCTAGGAATTAGAGGATATATATCTTTTGAGGGGCCATTATTCAGCCTTCCACAATCTGGCTCAAAGTTTATCAATTTTATTGATATTTTCAGCGAGCCAGATTTGGGTTTCATTTGATTGATTTTTTTCTCAGTTGTCTCCTTATCTATTTCATGGATTTCCATTCTGATCTTTATTATTATTTTATCTTGTGCTTTTGGGGGGTTTCTTTTGTCCCTCTTTTGATTTTGTAAGGTGGAAGCCGAGGTCATTGCTATAAATTTTCCCATATTCTACTTTAGCTCCATTCCACAAATTTTTGTATGATGCATTTTCATATTATTTTAGTTCAGAATACTTTCTAATTTCCCATAATTTGTTTGATCCATGGAAATTTGTTATTCAGGTTCTGATCTGGGGGGAATTTTCCAATTGTCTTTCCATTTATTGATTTGTATGTTAATTTTATTATAATCAGAGAACATTCTCTGTATGACTTGAATCCTTTTAAATTAATTGAGACCAGTTTTAGAGCTCAGAATATAATCTATCTCAATAAATGTTCTAAGACATTTAAAATGCATTTACTGTTGAGCATTTGGTCTATAGGATGTCTGAATGTTAGGTCAAGTTTGTTTATAGTACTGTTGATGTCTTCTGTATCTTTGCTGGTTATCTTTGCTTAGCCTACTTTTGCTATTACTCAGAAAGAGGTAATGAAATATCTAAGTATAACTTTGGGTTCTTCTGTTTTCCCTTGCAGTTGTGTTTTTTGCTTCATATAATTTGAAGCTTTTATTAGGTGCAAAGACGTTTAGGGTTGTTATGTCCTTTTGCTAAATTAAACTGTTTATCATTACAAGTTGTACTTTCCCACCTTTTTGCATGCCTGGTAATTTTTTATGGTATGCCAGATTTATTAAATTTTATCTTACTGTTGGACTTGGTTCTGGGATGCTACTCACTTACTTGGAAGCATTTGAGTCTTTAATTTAAAACTGTTTTAGATAGTGTCCAAGCAATGTTTAATCTTGGACTAAATATATATATTACTGAGATAAAACTCTTCTGAATATTCTTCCTTATGCTAGTCTTCTGTAAATTCCTGGAGTTCATTTACTGTAGTTCTTTCCTGCGACTCTTTCCCCTGCCTGGGGTGGTTTCTTCACAAAGCGTTTACTGATCAGTCCTCAAAGGAAAATTCAGAGTCCTGCGTGTCTCCAGCGTCCTCTCTGCGACCTTCTCCTCTCTCCAGCCCTCTGCCCCGTGAACTCTAGTCACCTGAGTCCCGAGCGGCATTGTTTCAACTCAAGGTGGCCGTCAGCTTGCCTGGCTTCCCCTCCGCGTCCTGCAGCCTCCTGTATTACTGCCTGAATGGTTTACTCCAGATTTTACCTGGGGCATTTGTAGGGTTCATCTCATTTACTTCCTGAATCTCATGAGTTGTATTCTTTGCCTCCTCATCATGTGAAGTATTGTTTCATGCATTTTTGCATGGCTTTTTAATGGTTGCATATTGGAGGTAAATCTGATAACTGCTACTTCATCTTGTCTGAAAGTGGAAGTCAGGACCTGGAATTTTATACAAAGTGTGGTCTAGTGCATTTTTTAATCATACCCGGAGAAACTTCTGTAGGCACAGCTTCTTCATAGTCAGCCTGTCCACAGGAATGGCCACAATCTGCAGACCGTCCTTTACAGCCCCTGCCACAACTGGATGACCATTGTGAAAGTTACTGATACTTAATATGAGGTGTTCAGAATGATGGCAAAGATGAACCCATTTGGAGTTTTTGCCTGTATTGTTTATTATGCATTATTTTTTATATTCTGCATTTCCATTTTGCTTTAGTTATCTAGAGGTTTTAGTTTTTACTGTGTGGGAATTTCTGTTTTTCAAAGACAAATATTTTGTTAACAATAAACTGTGAAATGTTTGTGTACATAAAATGTTTTTAATTACAAAACTCAAAAGAAATTTTATAAGTAGAACATGACAGTTTAAATTTTCACATTCTACCAATTAATATATTTGAATATTTCTTGCCTCATAGCTTGCATGAAATGAAGATTAATGGTTTGCATTCATGAAGTTAGTTTTACTTCCTGATAAAGCTCGGTTTATAATTTTATGAAAGAAAATTCTTTAAATCTGTTTAGGCATAATCAGATGTATAGCTGCTATGACCAAAATTTATCTTTAAAAAATATTTCAGTATAATAAAGGAACTACCATTGTTTATTATTATCAGGAATTACAGACCAAAAGAAAGTCTAAAACCCAGATGTAACCATATGTTTTAGCTGTAACATTGTTTTTCATTTTTATTGGAGTATAGTTGATTTAAAGTATTGTGTTAGTTTTGGCTGTTCAGCAAAGTGAATCAGGTATACATATGCATATGTCTACTCTTTATTAGATTCTTTTCCCATATAGGTCATTACAGAGTTTTGAGAACCTATATACAGTAGGTCCTTATTAGTTATCTATCTTATATATAGTAGTGTACATATGTTAATCCCTGTCTCCCAATTTATCCCTCCCCCTGTTTCCCCCTGGTAACCATAATCTTGTTTTCTATATCTGTGATTCTGTTTTGTAAATAAGTTCATTTTGTAACATTTTTTTTTTTAGGTTCTGCATGTAAACAAAGTCAGATGATTTTTGTATTTCTCTGTCTGACTTAAATTAATTCAGTGTGACACTCTCTAGGTCCATCCATGTTGCTGGAGAAGACATTATTACATTTTACTTCGTGGCTTAGTAATATTCCACTGTGTGTGTGTGTGTGTGTGTGTGTGTGTGTGTGTGTGTACCAGATTTTTTTTATGTATTCCTCTGTTGATGAACATTTAGATGGCTTCCATGTCCTGACTATGGTAAATAGTGCTGTAATGAACATTAGGTGCATGTACCTTTTCAAATTATTATTTTCTCCAGATGACAGGATCACATGGTAGCTCTACTTTTAGTTTTTTAAGGATCCTTCATACTTTTCTCCATATGTACCAATCTACATTCCTACCAACAGTATAGGAAGGTTCTTTTCTCCACATCCTCTCCAGCATTGATTGTTTATAGATTTTTTTGATAGTGGCCATTCTGACCTATTTGAAGTTGATACCTCTTTGTAGTTTGATTTGCATTTCTCCAATAATTAGTGATCTTTCTGCATGTGTTTTGGCCATCCATATGTCCTCTTTGGAGAAATATGATCTTTCATCCATTTCTTGATTGGATTGTTTGTTATTTTTAATTTTTTTATATTCAGCTGCATGAGCTATTTGTATATTAGAGAGATTAATCCCTTGTCATCTGCTTTGTTTGCAAATATTTTCTCTCATTATATGGTTGTCTATTCATTTTATTTACAGTTTCTTTGCTGTGCAAAAGCTTTTAAGTTTAATTAGGCCCCATTTATCTTTCNCCATGAGGTGATGGGACCAGATGCCATGATCTTAGTTTTCTGAATGTTAAGCTTTAAGCCAACTTTTTCACTCTCCTCTTTCACTTTCCTCAAGAGGCTTTTTAGTTCCTCTTCACTTTCTGCCATAAAGGTGGTATCATCTGCATATCTGAGGTTATTGATATTTTTCCTGGCAATCTTCATTCCAACTTGTGTTTCATCCAGCCCAGCATTTGCCATGATGTCCTCTGCATATAAGGTAGTTAAGCAGGGTGACAATATACACCCTTGACATACTCCTTTCCCAATTTGGAACCAGTCTGTTGTTCCATGTCCATTTCTCTCCTCCTTTATCATAGATTAGCTGACTGTAGATGCTTGTGTTTATCTCTGGACTTTCTTTTATGTTCCATTGCTCTATATTTCTGATTTTGTGCCAGTACCTTGCTGTTTTGATTCCTGTAGCTTTGGAATATAGTTTAAAGTCACGGACCCTAGTTACTCCAGCTTTGTTTTTCAAAACCCAGATTTTTTTTAAAGAAAACTAGGAAATAAATATGTGATGTTGTGTGATAATTTATCTCTTGATATTTTGGCAAATAAAACTTTAACCCTAATTTGTCCTCATTTTCTCTTTATTTTTCTGCCCTCCCAAATCAGTATTGCTTAAACTGTCTGTCAAGTCATGAAACAGGTTAATAGAGAAAATAGATACATCTATCCAAAGATTATGATAGATTTCTTGCAGAAGACCAGTTTCTCATCTGTGGAGTTTCCTAAAAGCTGAAAAGGGGGTTTGGGTTTTTGTTGTTGTTGTTCTGTTTGTCACAACATCATAGTTGTTGTCTTTAAATTTTTTCATGTTATATAAAGTAAATTATAATATATTTCCTTTCTTGGATCACATTCTTGTCGTGGCAAACAAGCTTGCGTAACTCATTGAAGCTTTGAGCCATGCTATACCAGGCCACCCAAGGCAGATGTGTCATAGTGAAGAGTTCTGACAAAACATGGTCCACTGGAGGAGGAAATGGCACCCCATTCTGTTATCCTTGCTGCAAGAACTCCATTAACAGTATGAAAAGGCACAAATATATCACACTGGAAGATGAGCCCCCCAGGTGGGAAGGTGTCCAGTATGCTACTGGGGATGGATGGAAGGCAATCACTAAACACTCCCGAAAGAGTTAAGTAATGGACCAAAGCGTAAGCAGTGCTCAACTATGGATATGTCTGGTGGTGAAAGTAAAGTCCGATTCTGTAAAGACATAGGATCCTAGGTGCTACAGTCCATGGGATAACAAACAATCAGCTACAACTTAGCCACTGAATAATCTTTTATTTGAATTTTTTGATTTATGGAAATAGGTAGATATTTATGTGATGGTATGCACAGTCCTTATTTTGTGGCTCATTCATAGATTTCTAAGTTTGCAGATGAGCCTGCTTTTCAGAGAACTGATCCAGATACATTTCTATTTGTCATAAAATTTACCTATTTGAAACAACCTTCTTAAAACTTTACTTAAATATAAAACAACTTGACATTTTTAATACTCTTAGCCTGCTTTCTAAATGGGTATGTACAGTCTTACCATCTAGAGATAAAATTGTTAGAAGTCAATCAAGTCTTCATGTGATTATAATCATTCCTGTGTAGAGATGCATATCTTCACCCAGTAATGCTCAATACTAATTAATGCACTGTCTTGACATTCTGTATTAACTTTTATTGCTGAGACAATAGCACATTCTATTCCATTTCTATGAACTGGAATATTAGATTTCCAGAAGATTCCAAAATAGTGAAATTTTCTCAGATTTTTACCTGATTTGGTTTCATTAACAGCATCCATTCAGTCGCTTAGTCGTGTCCAACTCTTTGTGACCCCATAAACCACAGCATGCCAGGCCTCCCTGTCCATCACAAATTGTCGGAGTCTACCCAACCTATGTCCATTGAGTCGGTGATGCCATCCAATGATGTCATCCTCTATCGTCCCTTTCTCCTGTCCTCAATCTTTCGCAGCATCAGGGTCTTTTCAAATGAGTCAGCTCTTCTCATCAGGTGGCCAAAATATTGGAGTTTCAGCTTCAACATCAGTCCTTCCCATGACTTGGTTTAGGGTTTACTTAAAAAAAAAAAAGTAGCCTCCAGGAAAAATTCCTCCAATGAAGCAATTAACATCCTAGTGATCACAGGCTATTTCTTATAGAGCAGGAATATCAAAGGTCCTTTTAGTCAACTCTGGCACCATAATGACACTCTGCAGCATGCCTCTGTGAAGTTGTAACAAGCACTTCTGGGAATAGAAGGGGCACTTTTGGTAGTTATGTCCAAGTGATAGGCCTCAATTGGTTTGTTACCTTACTGAAGGCCTAAGAGTTCAGATCTAGAGCTTTTCAGAATTGGTCTAGATTCTGATATAGAGACACCCATTTTGAAAGCTCATTTATATTTTGAAATTATCATTGAATACCATTAGGAAACTATTAAAAAATCTAGAAATATCATACATATACCTATATAAAATAGATTTAAAATTTTATCTTTATTATCTTTTGGGTATTTTTATTAATAATATTCATTTCAGTCATAACTCAGTCTGATATCACAGTCAGATTCCTTAACTTTAGTTAAATACATTGGAACGAATTTTGTTATTTAGTCAGATAAATTGTAATAAATTCTGTTCCTTGTTTAATTGTTTTTTAATGAATGCCATTCTTTCAGTTGATTAAAGCAATTTTTCCAGTGACTTTGTAAATTGTCCTACATTGAGTGGATTTTAAATAGTAATTAATTGCCTGGGAAGCAGAAGAACAGAGTGGTTATTATGGCTCAAAGGAATTTAACGAAAAAGAATTTCTAACCATTACAGTTATGTAGATCTTCCCCCTAGTATCCACAAAATGTTTTAACTTGAATTCTCTCTCTTTGATTTTATAGTTTCAACTCAAATATAAACTGTTTTCAAAAATATATTATGCCCCTATTTCTATAAAAGTATACACGTTCTATTTTTAAATGCCAAGTTGTGTTGATTCCATAGAGATTTGGGGAAATTTATCCTAATGGGAATAATTACTGTGGGAGCTAAAAATAATAGATGTGTCCTTCTTTTTCCTTCTTTTTTTTTAAAAAAGCTGGACCTGTGATCTGCAGAATGCTGAGTTATCCCCCAACTCGCCGAGCGTTAATTGTGGGTTGTGGTCTACAAATGTTCCAACAGCTCTCAGGCATTAACACCATCATGTATGTATTTCTCTCTGACTTTTCATTGAAAAGATTGTGAGGAATTATTTTATATGGAAAACAAATAGTAGGACTCTTGGTGATTTGTTTTTATTAAATGTATAGAATTCGCCTTTGGGGAGATACTTAACTGTACAGTGTTTAACAATCTTACCAAATTTTAACTAGAAGAGTGACTTACTTATTTTGTTCATTGTAATTATTGGCTTTATTTGACTTCTTACAATTTCTGTTTTATGCCATCAATTAGTTTCTTTTATTTTTAGCTACTAAATGTCATTTTTCATAAGCTATTTCTTGATTCTCATTAAAAAGTAAACCAAAGGGTAAACCTGGCATTTATTAGAGATCAGTGGACACACAACTAGTTCATTTCCTTTTAGGGCAGTCAGTTACAATGCAGTGTAATAAGAACATTAATAGAAGTATGTCTTTTACAACTAGAGTACAGTGGACCAGGGATGGACTGGGAGCAAAGAAGTAGGGAATATACCAAAGTTCCATGTTTTCTAGTTTTCACAGTAATTCTCAAAGTTGTATGTGTGTTGTGGCTGAAACAGAGTGAATCAGTGGGGCTTCTACCGTATTTCATTCATTCGATGTTAAACCCATTTTTGATGGTTGATTTTGTACTAGATACATAGCAGTGAATACAGGAGACATAGTTCTTGGCCTAATAGTATATACAGGGTGGTGGAAGAAATAACACATTAAATAAATTGACAATTTAATACAGAATTTCATATTGTCATAAGAACTACATAAGATTGTTCCAAGAGGAGACTTTTAAGATCCTAGGTGACAGAATATGGGTTAGAGAAAAGCCATGATTTTTGCTGAGAATCTGGTTATTGGCGAAAAGCTCCTATGTTCTCAGAAGCTTTCCCCTATACATACTGGTTAAAATTATTCATTAGAAAAATACAAATTATGTAAAATTGGATTTTACCTAGTGAACCATTTGTTTTGGGGACTTTTGATTTTTTTTTTAAATTACTTGGGTTATAATGAATTATTCAGTGGTAATTTCAGGAGTGAATTAGTTAAAGTAGTAACTAGGGCCCAAGGACCCATTAGATTCTAAGTTGGGATTGATTAAGAAACTTCAACTTGACTATATCCATACCCTTTGTGAATTTGACTTTAATGGTAATCCTTGTTAGCCATCAGCTTTCTGAGCTACATTTTAATATTGGTTCTCTCCTCCCCTCTAACATTTACTTTCATTTTTTCCTCACCATCATCATATCTATTAAGCTTATCTGTCAGTATAGCACCTAACATTTTTGTTCCTGGACGTGGCATACCATGACTTTTCTGAGGCATGTCCACTGTCCTTAGTGTGGTAATGTTATGGAATTGTAACAAGGCTAGCACCAATCTTTCAAACAACGCAATTCAGTAATAACCCTGTGTACACATCTAGTTCATCAACCTAATTTAACATCTGTCCTATTTCTGAAAATCTTTTGTTTGTTCTACCCTTTTCTAGGCATTTAAATCTGACAAGTTTAAAGCGTAGAAAGTGAATTTTTATTGTGCTTTTTTGTAGTCCTATAAAACAAGGATCACAGACAGAGCCAATCTAATTGGTGGGTGAGGTGAAGCCAGTGGTGCGTTCCTAGTTGAAATGATTGTTATATCACAAGTCCACTTGTGATATCTAATGTAAAATGTGCTGATTCAGGTTTTCAAATTTTATTTATTTATTTTTTTTCCATTTATTTTTATTAGTTGAAGGCTAATTACTTTACATCATTGCAGTGGTTTTTGTCATACATTGAAATGAATTAGCCATGGATTTACATGTATTCCCCATCCCGGTCCCCCCTCCCACCTCCCTCTCCACCCGATCCCTCTGGGTCTTCCCAGTGCACCAGGCCCGAGCACTTGTCTCATGCACCCAACCTGGGCTGGTGATCTGTTTCACCCTAGATAATATACATGTTTCGATGCTGTTCTCTTGAAACATCCCACCCTCGCCTTCTCCCAGAGTCCACAAGTCTGTTCTATACATCTGAGTCTCTTTTTCTGTTTTGCATATAGGGTTATCGTTACCGTCTTTCTAAATTCCATATATATGTGTTCTCCAAATTCTCAGTCTTTTCGCAGTGAGATCAAGTGATATGACTATAAGGATCCTGATATTCCATAAGGTGTATGATAGTCATTAATGTACTTTGATACTAATAGGTAATGTCTTCAATACAGCTGTTGCTTATAGTTGAGTATTAATCCTGGAAAGTAAGAATAATAAGGTAAATTATGGTTAATTTTATACTGTGTCTGTGTGATGCAGAATAGCTGGCAACTCCCTGCAGACTTTAATATAATCTTAGTATTGGAGGTTAGAAGACTAGACACTTACATGATGTTACCTATGCTAAGTAACTGTTGGTTTTTCATAGTACATAACTTCAGACATTCATATTTTAAGCTCATAAAACTGTAAATCAATTTCTTTAAAATAGACCATACTATTTTTATTATTTGGATGGAAAATGCCTAATTTAGGATTCTCATATAATGTGTTTTCTTCTACTTTATCTAGTCTGTATTCATGTGTTTGCATGTCTATGTGTTTCTTTTCCATTTTCCCCCATTATCCTTAAGATACAGTAAATACTACCATAATTTTTATTCCTTATAGTTTAAAATAATCTCTTAAATGCAGCTTAATAGCTTACTTTTTGTTGCCTTTACTAGAAAATAGCTATTACTTTTTTCATTTTAAAATGTTATTTAATTCAGAATTCTGTTTTTATGAATATTATGTATATTACTCTCTATTCTTTTTTGCTTCTCTTTCAAGTGGAAAATGAAGTAGGCAGTGCTCCTTTATATTTCCAACCCAAACTTAATAATCTGTAGAAGTTGAAATATTTTTTATAAAATCCATTTTCCACCCCAAGTTTGAATTCTGTTTTTTACCCAGAACAGTTGATAAAAGATCATATGAAAAAATATTGAAACATAAATCATCCTTACAATTGTATTATATAATCTTACCATGTTTAGTTTTCTCTGGTCTCCCTCATAGGATCTTTATTTCTATATCCATGAATTAATGTTCTATATCAGTTAAGGAAATAGATTTATTTCTTAGAATATTTGTTCTCTCCTATGACTATATATATATATCTATACGCACACACACACACACACACATATATATATATATCTGTTGTGAGTGTATCCAAGTATCTTATATTTGTATAAGTCGTGTTTATATCCTAACCCATACATTATCATCCTCCTGTTATATCGAGCATAGGACTTCTAAGGTCTTAGAACTGTTACATACTTCAGACAGTACATTTAACTTTTAGAAGAGGCAATTTTCTATTATGACTCTAATGAATAATTTCAAACATGCTGCTGAATAGCTTATTCTCTATTCACAAGAGAGAAGAATGAGCAAATAGAGTTCTGTTTTCCTGATATATTCCTGCTATATTATTGCACTACCTCACAGACCAATAAAATATTTCCACATGTCAAAATAATTGGAAGAGTAGTGATCTATGAAGAATATGATGATTAATGTGAAAACAACTCACTTAAAGTAATTCTCATGTGATCTATTCTAAACTCTGGTTATAATGTCAATAATGTTCCAATTTCTAGCTAAAAGTGTCTATTTTATTAATAAAGGGGTCGTTCCCACATTATTATTTCCACAACCAAAATGTGTATAGGTGAGTAATTAGGTGGTAGTGAGGGAGAGAGAGGAAAAAAAGAAAAAGAGAAAAAGTAAAAGAAGGAAACACTTGGCTACATTTGGGTTTGTTAGCATCTTGCTTCTTTTGAGGAACTTAAAATAAGCTATATTTTGATATGTCTTGATAAACATAAAATTAGTCCATCTTGGACAGATGGAAGGTAGCAGAGTTTTACCTGGGAAAACCAAGTGTTTAAATGGATCATTTTAAGGTTACACGGAAAATTTGCAGTAAAGAGGAGAAGGAAATCCAGAATTTGAAGCTTTTATGTCAGCTTCAGGTAAAAGGGATTATGGGTGTATAAACTTATTTTGGACACTCTAAATAGTCTGCTATTTTTAAACTGCTCTGATTTTAGATTAATGCTCCCAGATTCATCTCTTCTTTCTCTTTTTTACTAACTTAAAGTAGGGGTAGGAGATAGGCAATTACATAGGATGGGCAGATCATTCCTACCTGCATAACTGCTTTACTTTAATCTCCGGTGGATCACTACTTCTTTGTGTTTACTAGAGATAATAGAAGGCTTTGGAAAAAATGGCCTTGCAATACTAATCTTAATAGCTATCATTTGCTAAGCATTAATATGGGCTTCCCTGGTGGCGCAGAGGTTAAAGCATCTGTCTGCGATGCAGGAGACCTGGGTTCGATCCCTGGAGGAAGATCCCCTGGAGAAGGAAATGGCAACC